CCCTCCCTCCCTCCCTCCTTCCCAGTGCTGCTGTGCTGGGTGCCTGACTGGAATATCAAGCAGTGGAGCTGCCTGGCTGTCAGATGGGAATGTCGGGAGCCCAGACAAGCAGAGCTCACTGCTCCAGTGCCTGCCCTCATCCCTTGGCCAAGGATGAGGCAGAGAGAGGAAGGAGCAGACCCTGTGACCGCAGGGATCCCCAAGGGAGGTGTGCAGACAAAGGGGATGGGGCAGGGAAAGGAGAGGGGTGGGAAATGTGAATCAGTGTGCAGGTCTGAGGCCGCCTTCTAATCCTCCACAGCTGGCAAAACTTGTCTGCTTGGATGCTGCAAAGGCAGTGGAAACCTGAACTCATCCATCCTGCTCCTGTCACCCACCTCTCCCCCATCCTCGCGCTGGGCAGATAAAGAGATAAGCAGGAGGAAAATAACTCCAGGAGAGATAAAGAGACAGACAAGAGGAAAATAAAACAGGGATAGATAAACCATACTTGCTATTTATATTCCCTGTCTAATCTATCAATCCATCAGGCTGGCTATTGTGGTTATAGCAGCCCTCAATCTGTCACCTAGCCTTCTATTTTCCACACATCTGTCTTCCTTTGCCCACCTCTCCTCTCTCTCCCAGTCCTAAAGGGAAAAAAAAAATCAGGCAATTAAACACACCAGGAGGAAATGAAAAGTCAAAGCCATCCTCTGGGCTCCCCAGGCAGTGCTGGCAGACATCAGCCTGAGGATGGGGAGGGCACAGGCATGAGGGCCAGCAGTGCTCCTGAGCAGGCAGGGCTGCCAGCAGGATTCCCAGCTAGAGAAGTTATTTTGGCTTCTGCTGTGTATATTCCATCACTTCTTGGTTGTCCAGAGCAGCTGTGGTGTCCCATCCGTGGAAGTGTCCAAGGCCAGGTTGGATGAGGCTTTGGGCTACTGGAAGGTGTCCCTGCCTGTGGAAGGTTAGAGCAAGATGAGATTTAAGGTGTTTTCTAACCCAAACCATTCTGGGGTTCTCCCCATCATCACGTGGGCCATGTGGCAGGCTAACATTCCTTGGCCCACTCCCATCTCCTCTAGAAAGAGCACTTCCTACCATATTTTTTGGTGTCCTGAACCAGTCCCACATCCTAAACCCAGGTCAACATGAATATAAGAGTTGTTGGGGTGACTGGCAGCACCTCAAGGTACCCATCAAGGGATGCACCCTGCACTTCTCTGGCTTTGTTTAGGCTCCAGATGGAGCCAAGTGATGCCCTAACAGTCCCATGTGTGAGGAGGGAGGTGGATGAAGGCCATTTACTTTTAATTTGATGCAAAAAAGCACTGCAGGGAGTAAGGGGAGGCAGGCAGCTGGAAGGATGAGCCACCAGCTCTTTGCATCCTCAGCAGTTGCCTCTCCTCTCTCCACAGCCTCTCAGCAATATCTGTAACCTATTGCCCAAAAGCACCAAGTTTGGCCCAAATTGCCAATTAATTCCCTTTAGGAATGAGGCTATGCATGGCACTCCAAGGCTTGGCAGCTGGCAGAGCCCTGTCTCAGCAAAAAGCACTTCCCATGGGGAGGCAGACAAGACCTTGGTCACCCACCCCCAAACCATGGGGCTGCACCCCCTCTTTAACTCAGAAAAACAGAATTGGTTCCTTAAATTTGGCTGCTGAATTGCTGTATTTTGGGAGAGAAATGCTCCCACCTTTTTGGGGGATTTGTGTGAGTTAAAGGAAGAGCAGCAGCAGCAGGATGCCCTGGGAGAGACTGCCAGGCTGTGTGGGAATCTCAGGTGGAAGCAGCCAGGTCCTCCCATCCCTGCCCAGCAATTAAGGCACTCAGCGGAGGTGATTAAAAGGACAAGGTTAATAACTGGAGGTCAGCATTTGATTACCTTGCAGTGCTTTCCCTGCACAGAACAGTGCTGATGGCAGCAGGGCTGGCTGGAGAGCTGGGATCTGGCCTCAGGATGGGAACAGCCAGCCTGAACCAGGAATTCAGCACCAAACCCATCAGGTTTTAACAACTCCTGTGTTTGGGGTTGTCCCTTTCTAGACTCTGTGTTTATATGAGATTCTCTGCAGTATGAAAGCCAGAAAATGGCCTTTAAATAACAAGCTGAGCTCTTCACTTGCTGGATGCAGACACTCTGGTTGCCTCCAGACACGTTTGTTTGGCAGCTCTGCCAGGGCAAAGGAGGCCAGGGAGGGCCAGGCTGTTTCACCCCCAGCCCAGGCAGCAGCATGGGGTTTCCTGCACAGCTCTCCCAGGGCAGAGAGAGATGATGGCCCTCAGGCTGGGGCTGGTCCTGCCTCCATCTGCCACCCTGAGACAGCCAGGGATGGGCTGTGATGGGCTGCACCTGAGCAAACAGCTCCACCTTTGTAACCTACACCCTTTTCCCCCTCCTGCCTTCACCCTTTGAGCCTCCAGCCCTGTGTGCCATCAGGTGGTGGCCCAAGGGCACCTCTGCATCAGGCTGGACCCAAACAGCAAGGCCAGCTTTGCCGTGGAGAGAGGCTGTCAGCCTAACTCGGCATTCTTGCTCCAGCCTGCCTCAGTTTACCCCTGTGGCTCGCAGCAAACACTGCCAGCCTGGCACAGAAGAACGTGGATGCACAGGAATGAAAACATCCCAGGGGAGGAGGGAGGGCTGGGAGAGCTCCAGGTAACACGCTGGAGCTGGCAGGAACTCTCCTGCTTTGCATGCAAACAGCACACTGGTGCAGATGTTGCTTTTAATGCATCCCCCTGGTCTCTGGTTTGGGCTGCAGGATGGGCAGGAGGAGGGAATCAGGGAATCAGGGTTTGGCTTGGCAGGAAGCTGCAGGATGAGCGTTTTGCCCAGGGCTCCTGCGGCTCTGTTAGCCACAGCAGGCAGCTGCCAGCAGACCTGCTCTGTGCTTGACAGCGTTTCTGGGGGAGGCAGGAGATGCCAAGCTGCCCTCTCTGCCCCAGCACAGCTCGGGCTCCTTCCTCACAACTCAGTCACCACAGAGATGCTCCTGGGCACACTTGGGATCACCTCTCACTCTCCCAACAGCCCAGCAGATGGTGGGATGTGATCCCTGGGAAGCTGGCACCCCTGAGGTGGGCAGCATCGTGGCCCAGAGCTGCCCTGCCAGCACCAGCCCATGGAAACTTGTCATCATTCTCTCCACACACCAGGCTTGTGTATTGGTGGGGTTTGCCACCAGCCCCCCCTGTTTCCCCTGGCTCTCCAAAGCCCAGTGACATCTGCATGGCCAAGAGGCAACCCAAAACCTCACTGGCTCCTTTTTAGCCTCATCTTTTTGTTTTTCCTCCCCCTTCTCCTGCCAAGCTCAGAAGTGCAGTCAAGGTGGCAAATTAGCACCAGAGCCTCGTTAATTGGCAGGCAGGAGCCTTCTCCTGCTGTTTGGGCTGTCATCAGCCGTTTCAGCACATTTTCAGCTTCTTTCTCTCAGTCTATTTTCCCCCCTTTGCCAATGCTGGGCTGTTTTTCCTCTCTGCCATCTCTTTCAAAGCCACCAAGGGTTCTCATCCCCCCATGCCATGCTCCCTGGTGTTTTCTCTCCAGAGAGGATCTACAGGGTCTGTGGTGAATGGTAAAGGAGAAGGAAGGGAAAATTCACAACCTCCTGAAATGGTGGTGACCTCAGCTTCTTCCTCCCTCTTCCTCCTCCTGCCACAGTCCCTGAAGGAGGCAGCAGAATCAGCACAGAGCAACAGGGACGTTTCTGCTAGCAGGAGATGTCCCAGCCACCCTCCTGTGTCCCCACTAGGAGCTCAGTGACAATCTGGGGTGACTCCAGCTGGTGGGGACCTCAGGAAGCCCCAGTCCCAGTTCCTCAGCTCCCTTCTTCCCTCCCCACCAACTCCTCCTTAAGCAAAGATCAAAAAGCACAACCTCAGCCACCCAACCCCACTGCCCCCTTGAGTGCCCTCAGCCACTCCCAGCTCTTGAGGAGAACCTGGAGACCCTTCAGACACCACCAAATGAAGTCTCTTCACTGCACCCCATTCTGCAAGTGGAAAAATTTGCAAGGACCAGGAATGGCAATGGCAAATTGCTTTCTCCTCCTCTGGGCTCTGCTCCTGGACCAAGGGTTGAGACGGGCAAAATTTGGTGGACAATGGGATGAAATTCAGAGGGATTTTCCTGTTGGGTGGAATAAAATCCCCAAAAAATCTTCAAGCCAGACCTTTTGCTCCTACTGCATATGCCAGGAGTGGAGACTGACTGGATGCGAAGAAAGAAGGAGAAAAATCAGTCAAATTATTTTTAAAAGTGCTCTCCCAGCCTACAGGCATCCTCTTCTCTGTACACAAACCCTCCTGGGATACACAAACCCTCCCAGCCCATCTGCCTCAAAAATCAGCTACATCAGTTACCACCTTCCAGCTTTTCCCTTGAAGTGATTCCCTGCAATGGCTCCTCACCCTTCCCTTGCCTCTGGTGGTATTGATCCACTCAGGAAGATGGGAATTGCAGGAAATAAAGGGTCTCAAGGGCCTATTTCTCCACCTGTAGCCCATTTGATCGCTGGGAGAGCCCACGCCACCAGGATTTATCTCCCACCTTGTTTTCCCAAGCTACTTTCTATGGCTGTTTCACCAACATAACAGTAAAAAAATGTGGCACATAAACCACCCCAAATAGTGTCCAGGGATGTGATATCCTATAAATCCCAGGAGAGTGTTGTTTGGATCAGGCTTGCTCCATTGAAGTAATCTCCTCACTGGCCATAGACCAGGGGCTCTTCTAAAGCCCACAGAGCTGCTGGAGAGAGATTCCTTCTCTCCTGAGACTTGGCAGTGGTGTTGGGAGCCACACTCTCAGAAAGGCTCCTGGGGGAACAGAATCAGTGATTACCCAAATTAGTTTCTAATAGCTTTTATCTCCTAATTTCTACTTTGTCAAGTGCTAAAATCCATTAATAATCAAGAGACCATGTGGAAAAACATTTAATATCCCAGCTGCCAAGAGCTCCCACCCTGTCACACTCCAACACAGCTACAGAAGAGGAAAAAAATAAAATGTGATTTTTTAAATCTTGAATCCAACTCTCCAGTTAAACTGTCTCCTGCTTTTGCTGATCAGTGAGACAAATCCATGTTTGGAGCATTAGATCTTGCACCTCCTTCTTCTCCTCTCCTGCCCTTGCTGGACAAAGGGTGCCTCATCCCTGAGTTGGTTCCTTCCTAGAGGGACCCAAAGGTTGGTGGCCAAGGTTGGTAACACCCTGGATTCATCCTGTGCCTGGTGCTTCCCATCCAAATGAAGGCAGGATGCTGCCTTCTATGGGACAGGCATGTCCACACAGTTCTCCATGGGCTGAGGTTGGGGTGGATAATTTCCACTCTCTACCAAAATGCTGCACCCCTTCATTCCACCCACACACCCTTCAAGTCTCTCAGGTTTAGTCATTCCTTATCTTGCCCTTGCAGAGCTGACCTCAGCCCTCCACCCACAGCCTGGAAATCCACTTCCATGCTCAGGTGGAAGCTCACCCCCACCTTGCTTCAATTTGCATCATCCCCCCTCTCCTAATCACCTGTTTGAACAGTTTAATGGGCTTCTAATAAAATATTGCATTTCTGAAGCTCCCTGTGATGGAATAATTGCCCCCAGCATGCCCAGAGGGATGCACACAACCCCTGCATAGCATTGCCCATGGCTTTTTGTGGCTGGGCTGCTTCCCCAGCAGCAGAGGAGGGAACACAGGCCTGCATCCACCCCAGAGGTTGTTGCAACAGCAGAGTTGGGCACAGGGATCCAGGGGGCGCAGCCAGAGGTGAGCTTTGGGCAGGAGTGCCAGAGGGTTCCAGGCAGCCTGGGGACAAAAGCTGGGAGCAAGGAAGGAATTGGGATGTTGCTGCATGAATAGATGGCTGTGGGAGCTGCTGGGAGCAGGGAGGCATGGGAGGGCTGAGCAGGGTCAGTGCCTGCAGCACAGTGTGGGTCTCAATCCCAGAGCCAGGCTGACTGTGGGACAGCCTGGTTTAAAGATCAGTTCTGTCCAACATCCCCTGGCCCCACCACATTGCTCCTTCCTCTCTTGCCAAGAGGATGGTGACCTGCAGGAGGAGATTGAGGTGCTTTTCTTAGCAGCTTAACCATTGCTCAGAGGCAGAATCAAGAGTGACTGAGCCAGTACAGCAAAGCCAGTATCCCCACAGAACCAGTAAATCCTCATCTCCCCCTGAATGGGCTGCCCAAGGCCTGATGGGGACTTGCAGACCCTGTCCTGAGCCCCAAAAATGCCTCAAAGAGCCGAGGCTCAGGTGCTGCCTCACAGAGTGGGCAGATGGAGCCCTGCCAGGCAGGATTTGGACTTTGTCAGTCCCTCAGTGACCCTCCTGGGGAAGGCTGGCACAGCACTGCCACCACGCACACTCATCCCTGCTTCCTTCCCCAGCTCTCAGTACCTGCTTATGGATTTTATGGATTTATTTGTGTTTTGCTGTTGGCTCACACATCATTAAAGAGCTGCTGTGATGTTGGCACTCCTGAGCCACCCATTGACAGCTGCTCTGTGGTCACATCCACACATGGACTCAAAGGATGTGGACTCCTTCATGGAAACCCCTCCAGGGATGTGCAGCCTCACCCAGGAGCAAACCCTGTGCAGGCTCTTTTACAAAGTGGTGGAATCTACATCATCTAATCAGGGGGTGATGGGGTGCTGGGATGGGATCCCAGTGCTTTTCCAGGGTTTTGCCCCTACCCAAGAGAGATTTAGTTGCTGGGGGTGAGGTGTAGTAAGGTCACAAACTGAAATATATCCAGACACATACAGTACATAAAACTACAGTCTGTTTCCCCTCTAATTGGTAATAAATGTAAATGTTTAGTTATGCCTGGCTTGGGAGCTATGAAAAACACATCTGGCTGGCTGGTTTTCCTGCTTGCCATCTGTAGCTGAAAGGAAAAGCAAGAGGTGCATGTGTGAGCACCTGAGGAAGGCAGCAGGGGCAAAGAGGGAGCAGGAGAGAGGAGGAGGAGGAGGATTGCTGGAGCAGGTTGGCATCAGAGGGTGGTTTCTGGTTTCCCTGCTCATGGGGACCTCCAGGTTTTGCATCTCTGCTCAGTTCTTCCTCCTCTCCCAGGTAATAACCCACAAGGGAATGGCCCATGCCTTCCAGAGCTGCTGACACAGAATTCCCTGGCACTGATGGGGAGACAAAACCAGAAAGCCCCTGGAGGTCTCCTGCTGGCCATTAATCACCATTAACCAGAAGCTCTGATCTGGTCAAACCTTGAGCAGTGCTTTGTGCATCCCTTCAAGCAGCACAAAGCCCTTGCAGCTGAAACAGCCAGACCAAGCTGGCAGGGAAGGGATGCTCTGTGCCCCCTGCCCCTGTCCCAGAGCCATCCTTAGGTCCATAAAACCCAGCCTGCAGCCCCATCCCCACCAGTTAAAGACTGGGAGGAAACCACTGATCCAAAGAAGAAAATGCAGAGCTTTAAAAACTTTCTCAGTGCCAAGTCCCCAGGGCTGGGGAAGTTTGGAGAGCTGAGAAAGCTAATGAGCACAGAAAAGCAAGTCTGGTGCAGAATTAACACAGGGGGAAGTGTAGATTCCCCCCTTCCCTGCACCTGCTTTGCTGCCCTCTCCCAGAATCTGCTCCAGCCTCCCAGCAACGCCACGATCCCCATTCCCTGCTGGACTCACACCTGCCCCATCCCAGCTGGAGTGCTGGCACCCAGCAGCCTTCCTCCTCCTCCTCCTCTGCCCGCCCGCTTCACTCTTATTCTGGCAGCACCGCCTCTTACTTTGAAGCAGCTTTCCTTGGAGCGGCAGCCTCGCTTCCCGGCCGTCCCCAAAGAGCCCGCGAGTGCTCGCTCTCCCTCGTCCCTCCTCCCGCCTTGATCAAGGCTGAAGGCTGGAATCCAAGTGCATTGATCAAAGCGGCTTCTTCGGGCGAGATTCTCTGGCAAGGAAAAGCAACAGTTGCTGAGGAGCTGCTCCAAGGGCCGGCGGCTCCTTGCCAGGAGGGGAGAAGGGCTTCACGCAGCCAGGGCAGGGGGGCAAAGGGGTTTCACTGCCCGGAGAGGCTGCCACAGCACAGAGGGTGCTGCCTGCTCCCCAGGTACTTGGGGCTGAGCAGCAGCCAGATATCCTGATTCTGAGCTCTCCTGGGGAAAGATGCAACTGTGCATATGGCTGGGACAGAGATGAATAACGCCAAGGCCTTTTGCCTCGAGACAAAAGTCCCCATTCCAGCCTTAAAGCAGCTTAGACTGAGTGCTCAGAGTGCCTTGAAGAGCAGGGGGCTGGCAGGCCCTGGCAGCAGCCCCTGATTCCCTGCCGAGCCCTGGGGCCGCGTGCCAGGTGCTGGTGCCAAGGTGAAAGTGGAGAGATCAGGCAGCCAGATGGCATCCTCCACCAAAATAACCATGGGCACAAAGCATCCTCCACCAAAATCACCACAGAACATAAAACATCCTCCACCAAAATAACCACAAACATCCTCTCCCAAAAACAACCACAAATATCCTCCCACCAAAATAACCATGGACACAAAGCATCCTCCACCAAAACAACCACGAAACATCCTCCTGCCAAAACAACCATGGACACAAAGCATCCTCCACCAAAATAACCATGGACACAAAGCATCCTCCACCAAAACAACCACGAAACATCCTCCCACCAAATCAACCATGGACACAAATCATCCTCCACCAAAATAACCACAAATATCCTCCACCAAAATAACCACAAGGCATCCTCCCACCAAAACAACCACAAAACATCCTCCTACCAAAACAACCATGGACACAAATCATCCTCCACCAAAATAACCACAAACATCCTCCCACCAAAACAACCATGGACACAAATCATCCTCCACCAAAACAACCATGGACACAAAGCATCCTCCCACAGAAACAACCTCAGGACACAGAACAGCTCATCTGCCATCAAGGGCTGGGGCTGGCCCCAACGTGGCTCCAGGAGGGCATCCCAGGAGGGGAGGGGGCAGCAGGAGCAGGGGCAAAGCCCTGTGTAACTCAACCAAATCCATTTGCACTCACACACACCCTTCGAAACCCTGGGACGGGCCCTCCTGAGAGGTCACACTGGCCCCCAGTTACTGGGCACACTCACTGCCAAGCTGGCAGGCAGCTGGGGCCACACTACCTTATTCCCTGGTGGATTCAATCCCCACTAGCTCCAGCTCTCAGAGGTCTCCAGGGTCAGGCCATCAGCAGGTGCAACTCCAAGAGATTTACACCATCCACCTGTGGGGAAGGGTCAGATGTGGCTGGTGCAGGAGGAAAGGCCAGCAGTGACATTGGCATGCTGCTCCTGGCAGCCTCCAAGCTGCTGCAGCAGCTGCCTTTGAGCACTTTTCATCTAATTCAATGAAAATGAGATGTTCAAGTGAATGAAGATAATTTAATAATGAATAGCTCCAACTTATCGGAGAAGCTCTCCATCCCTGCCTGACAGTTGCTGCCTCTAAGTGCAGTTTAATAAGGGAATCACCATCACTCAGCCCTGTGGTAGCAAATCAACATTTTGTTACTCAGGGAGAAGGCTCTGCGCTTTCCTAAAGGGTGAAGCTATTTCTCAGGGAGCCAAAAGTCTATTGGGCTTTAAAAGGAAAAATGAGAAAAAAGAAAAAGAAAAAAAAAAAAGGAAAAAAAAAAAAGCAGAGGAAAATAATGAACCAGCAAAGCAGCCCATCTTCAGAGGCAAAATGTAATTAAAAATAAAAGCCAGCTTGAAGAAGGCTGTAAGTCATCACAAGCAGCAGCCAACACTGAAGTGAAAGCGATGCTGGCAGAGCCTGTGAGCAGGGACACAGGGGGTCCTGAGGCTGCACTGAGCCACAGCAGCATCCCAGGAAGACATTTTAATCCATTGGGGTGCTGCTTTTCCCAGCCAGGACCAGGATGTCTCTGCTCCTTGCCATCCTCCCTGGCTGCCTCTGGGGCTGGGACAGGGCACCGCCATCCAGCTGTTGGGTGCCAGCTCTGGGGTTATGCTCCCAGCCTCCAGCACTGCTGCCAGTCATCCCCACCCAAAATCCCTCTGTCTGTACAGCCAAACCAGAAAACACCCACAGCATGTCTCAGGTGAAGATGGATTGTGCTGGGGAGCATCCCTGGCACGATAACAGCACTACACACAGGTCTGAGCAGCCGGGCAGGCAGCCTTGGGTCCTCATCCTGCTGCCCAACAGCAGGCAGCCCTCATCCCCGCTGGATGGGAAATTCCACAGCCAGTTATTTCCCCAAGGCACAGCTCTGCCTCTCCGAGCATCGATCCGGCTGCATCCCGCCTGCCGGGCAGCGCCGGGGGATGCCGGCCCCGCGGGCTGCTGCTGACACCTGCCAGCGCTGAGCGCTTAATTATTAATTGCATTTCCAGTAGCAATTGTTGCTCGTGCCGATGGAGCTGGAGCAGACATCACAAGCAATTAGCAGGGCCTGGGCTGGCGCTGGGCCGGACCTGCTTAGCGCTCCGCTCACGTCCTGTGGCGCCGGGAACCAGGAACCAGGAGCGCTTCCCATCCCTGCTCGGTGCAGCTGCCACACGCCCTGACTGGGCATGGTGGGCACAGACAGCTGCGCTGCCACCAGCCAGTCCTGCCATGGCGCTGGCACTGTCCCCTCCTGCAGCCCTCTGCAGCAGGATCTCAGGTTCTCTTGGGGTCACTCTGACCCCAAGATGGGTCAGAAGGTCTCTTTTCCCAACCTGGTGGTCAAGGAAGGAGTCAGAGCTCTTCTATTCTCGGTCTCAAGGTTGTTTATTGTATCTTACCTATAAAATTTTTACTCCTGTCCAGCTGAGGTCCGCTCAGCATGACAGTCCAGGCACTGTGCCTGCCCCCAGGGCAGTGTTATTTTTTTATACTAAAAACTACATGTACATTATTTACAATAACTTCCCAATACCTATCACCTATGTTAAGACAGTGAGCTTCTACTCTGAACCAATCTAAAAGTGCCAACATCACCCAGAAGATGGAGGCCAAGAAGAAGAAGGAGAAAGGCTGGACACACCCAGATCCCTCCATCTTGCCCCCTGAACCCCCATTCTAAAAACCCCAAAAATCTATTTTTTCACCCCGTGATAAATTCACTATCATTCTAGTTAAACTTTTGTGGCTTGTAATTCTTCGTATAAGATTATTAATTGTTTTTTCCAAGGGCTAAATCAAAGGCACAGGGATCTTGGGCTCTGTGCCAAGGTCTCGGAGTCCCCTGGGCAGGGGCTCGAGCCCTCCAGGGCAGCCAGAGGAATTTCCTGGGTTCCTACGGCAGCACACATGGGACATTGGCTGCTGTGCCATCCTTGGAGGCTCCAGGTCTCCTGGGCAAGCAAAGCCATGAGCAGGAGAGGTGGGAGCTGTGCCCCAAACCCAGTCCTGAGCAGAGCTATCTCAGGGCCAACCTCCCCTCTGCCCCAGCTCAGGTGTTCAATCAAATTAATTTCTATCATAACCAAAGTGACTGGCCAGTTGAGTCCAGGCGGGCTTTTCCTGCTCATTGAAACCGTTCCATAGCTCAATTTTGGGAGCTTATTTTCCACTTCATTGAGTGCCATGTTACTGCAAATGAATATATTCCTTGGTTGGTGTGATGGAAAATACAGCTGTAAATGCTTTCTGCTTCATTTGGGTAAAGAGCTCCAGATAGGACTAAGTATAAAGAGAATTTAAATGCTCGCCTTCATTAAAAAAGTTGTTTCCCATTCTCTTTCTTCCTGAAAATACAAGGCTGCTGGTGGAGAGAGCAAAAGAAGGCTTTAAATTTACATCAGTGTCATGCTAACCCAGATCACTCCCCACCCGTGACTGACGGCACAGCAGCTTCAGTTCCACAGGTTCAGAGGAGTGGGAAGAGGACAGCAGGGGATGGGATGCCCAGTGCTGCATGCCAGGGTCAGGCCATGCCCAACTCTTTACCTCTATGACTGCCTCTGTGACTCCTCCCAGGAAGCTGTAGGGAGCAACTGAGCCTCCTTTTCCCCACCCAGCTCCCTCAGCCACAAGGATAGTGCTCCAAGCCCTTGTCCAGCTCTGTTGCCCTCCTCTGAACACGTTCCAGCACCTCAAAATCTTTCCTGTAGCAAGGGACCCGAAGCTGAACACAGGGTTTTGGCACCTCAGCAGTGCCCAGGGCAGGAATGAGGTGCTGCCTCTTCCCACAGCCATATCCTGTGCTTGGCCTTCCTGGATCCCTGTCCAAGCTAGCCAGCAGCCTGGCAGTCTCCCTGCTATCTCCCCAGGCCAAAGGAGGGAGAGGATGCTCCTGCTCCAGCTGGGACTGGCAAAGTCACCAAGAGCAATCCTGTGTCGTGCAAAATCGGAGCTGATTTCTCCCCTGGAAGGGCCACTGCAGCCCAGGGAGACACCTCAACAGGTCTTGGGAACCTTGAGCCTTCCAAATCCCACTGGGCAGGATGTCAGGTTGTGCTCTGCTCAACACCAGCAGAGTGAGGGGAGCCTTCCATCTCTGCTAAATCAAATTTTAACCCAGGAGGAAATACACCCTGGCTTCCCAGGATTTACCCAGAAACAGGTCACCCCAGCAGGGCTGTGGCAGAGCAGGAGGGATGAGGGATAGGCAGCAGGATAAACAGAGTTCACTTCAATCACAAAATAACCTCCTATTGCACGTTTGCTAAATTTCAAACTGCAACTTCTTACCCCCCAAATATTTGTGTGGAATTGGTGGGAATGAGTTCCATGTAAGATTTATAGAAATAACTAAGGTTAATCCAACTTTCCATTTGAGTGGAGAAGCCAGGAGTAAAGTGATCCATGGCTCTCTTACCTCTAACAAGCCACTTCTCACAGACTGCTCAAACCAAAGGGACCCAACAACACCATGGAGCCACAACAGCCTCATGTCAAAGACTGCCCTTCCATTTCTCCTCCTCTGATCATGAAGTCCATCACTCTATTTTCCACCAGAATCTCAGGCAGTTTTTGAAGGTATTAAATGGCACCATTTCAATCCCCAAGGCATGGGGACAAGCCTGATTGTGCAAGGGCAGGACAGGGAACCTCCCACCCACCATCCAAGCCCAGAGAGCTGCTGTCTCAGCCACCCCAAGACATTGGCATGGAATCCCACGTGGCCTGACCAGCCTGGCACCCTCACATTATCCAGCTGGAATCCCACCACCCACTACGCCACACAACCTTCCCTTGCAGCTTCAATAGCTGGCAGCAGCTGTGAACAATTACCACCCAAAACCTGGATGAAGTACAAGGTGATATAATTATCACCTTAATGGCATTTCAAGACTATCACCGTGGGCTGGAGGTAAAACTTGAGCTGAGTGAGTGTAATAAGCATATCTAATGTAATATTTGCAGGGAAGGGCAGGCTGGCTTTAGGGAGGATTACGATAGCTTTGCAGCTTTGTGTAGCTTTACATGGGATATTTAACATGCAACAGATAAAGCAGGATGAGCCCGTGATGGCTGCAAACCCTGAGCATGGCAGCAGCTCTAATGCTGCCTCCATCTCCTGGTAAGGAGGAGATTACATGCTCAGAGGCTGGGTGGCACTGGAGCCTTGCCCTGGGTGCCTCCACCATGGTGGAGCAGCCAGCAGGGTCCCCATCTGTTGGAAAGGATGAAAGTTTGACAAGGAAGTCTCACAGATATGCGTGCTTAGCAGAAAGATTTTTGAATGTAGAATCTGGAGAAGGAATAGAGATGGAAGCAAGTCTTGATATAGAAGAAAAGAACTGCTGAGCCAGTCTTACTGGATAACCAAGGAGGCAAAGGGTATGTTAGTTAGAAGGGGTTTGTACGGATTAGAGCAAAGGATAAACCCACCCCAAACAAGATGTTTTTACCAAGCAGAAAGATAGCACAGACAAACAAGTCAGCAAATGCTGCAAGTAGAAAAAAGGTCTCAGAATTTTCCACTGCAAGAAAAGTGGAAAACAACTTCTAGCTTAAACTGCAATGTACTGACTTTTAGTGATTGGAGAACAGTAACATGAAGATGGTAATTATGGCAGTTATGATAGGCTATAGATAATAGTTAAGGTATAGATTGGTTCTACTGTATTAAGATGCTCAGCAAAGTATAGAATGCATTGTAACCAAAAGAAAAGTAAATAATGCATTGTAACCTAAACTAAGGGTCTGCAGGCCTGCCTGCAGCTGGAGCTGACAGCTGTAGGCACAGCTCTGTCACCCACAACCCTGAACTGCTGAAACTCTTGATGTAATAAATTGCATTTTAGAGAGCCCCTGGAGTCCCACATC